CTTTTGAGCTACCCATGAGCCCAATTTGAGAATGGCTCCAGCAAGTTTTTGATCTTGCGCCTAAGTTTGGACTAGATATTAGATCAATTCCTGCTCCAACTAATTGAATTGGCTAGTTCGGTCTAATTTTTAACAAATTGCTTTTATATCAAATACATAGCAATTGTGATTAGGCGAAGTGAAACCAAAAAAAAAAATCTATATTAATACCTTTGGTCTTAAATATACATACCCCGTTTATAAATTATAAACGAAATCTTATATTTAAGACCGGAGAAATATTTAAATAGAGGGGTCATTATAGATGGGGGAAAATTTGTTTAAAGAACTACTTTATTGAACTCGATAATGTTCAAATCAAATAAGGAAAGCCTGAATACCTTCATTTGGTGGATAATGATAATAATCATCCCACAGCTTATTTCATTTTACATCGATGCTCTATAAAGTAGAAAATAAAATTTACAAAGGAAGAGGTAGGTATTGCTTCTATGACAATTTGAAGGAAAGCGATATCCCAACTAATTAAGCCCCTGATCTTGCAAAGCAGAGGATACATGAGATCTAAAGCTCTAAACAACCTTTAATTCTTTTAGCCACTTGGTGTGCAGAGGACATGGGTCAGGTTTTTCTTGCGCCACGGCCTTCTCAGAGAGAGAATAAAACCAACCATTTCTCCATTTGAACTACAAATACAAAAAACAAATTGGTAACTTGACAATGGGATTTCAAAAATTTTATACTAAGTTGTTGTCTTTTACCTCCTTAACTGCAGTGGGAAAGTGGGCAACAGCTCGGGAATATGCACACAAGCGCTCGACCATACCATCATCAAATGTTAAACCTTTTTCTCCAGCTGCTGCTGATGCTAGTTCTTCTATAAGTTTTGATACCTAAAAATATAAACATGAGTTAGAGACGCATTATCCATAATTCAAACCCTCAATTTCATGCCAAATTTGACTGCAGAGCATAGTTCATCTCTAGATTCACAGGCTTTGATGTCAATGAGCATTATCAGGACATGCATTTAGGTCAAGCTCATCATAAAATGGATCCAAGATTGACGCTTCAGATCAACCCCAGCCTAGTAGATGGAACGTTCAAACTTAATCCACGCAAATTTGACAAACACATCTTAGAATGAATCCAGGATCGATTCCCTCAAATGAAACCATAGCCAATAAATGGAAACACTGAACTTAAACCATGCAATCCTGAGTTAAACAAAAACTCATATCATTCACCTTTTCATTTGTAATCCTACCAGCATACAGAAACTAAATTTGTCAAAATGATAATCTGTACCTATCCTCAATTATTTTTCTTTTCATTTTTCCTTCTTATTATACCTTTTTCCCTGAAGCCAAGTAAGTCATTGCACTTCTTGGCATCATAGAAGAATTCCATATGATAGGCATGTAGCATATCCTTCCTTCATATTAAAGTCACAAACAAAAATGCAAAATTCAAATGTTCATGGTCCAGTGGTCAGCAATAAAACATAAAATAAAATAAGAAAGAGCGCGCCACTATTTGTGGATGACAGGAGGTATAAGGGTATTATCATGTAAAAAAAAATCGAGATGAAAAACTTATATCTTTGGCCAAAAGCAACAGATGAGAAATAGAAAGACAGAGATCCCCTAAACACACATAGCATTAGAAATGAAACAAGTTAATGATTACTGTTTTTTTCCCCCAAACATGATTAAAATTAAAAAAAAATTATTGAATAAAGGGGGAAAAAAAAAAGATGGATTTACATCCACTGATATCCATGTCAAACCGGTAATGTAATCATATCCTAATCCAGGCATATCACCCTATATAAATACAGTGCAATCTCAAACGGTTAGTCTTGAAGAAATAGTCAATTGCAAAACTTACTTCAGAGGTGTGTTCTTTTTCCACAACACCTACTGACACCCCTCCATTACGTGCTCCAACAAGCATGAATGAACAAATCCATATTAGCTTCTCTAGCATCTGCTTTTGAAATGCTTCCTTCTCAAGAACCTGGCTTTTTTGACAGAGATCAGTACATGATAAATTATCAGTCGTGTTATACTATCTCCTTTTGACAATTCTGCATGAAATTCTATCACTTTAGCTTTACAAGACTTCAGCTAGCAAAGAAACACCAGAAAAGAAAACTAGTAATCCATCATTCATCATGAAAACAAGTAAATCTCTAAAATAATACCTTGCAAGAGAGGCCTCCGGCATGTAGTCTTCCCGCCACAGCAGATGCCCACTTCCCATAAGCGGCTGTGAGCCCTTCAGGATTAGTATCAGTCTTACCATCAATAGGGGCTTCTCCAAGTTTTGACACTGCGAAATATGCCAATACTTGGTCCGCCTCATTTAATCCTTTACTTTCAAACCATGGCTCCAGCATTCCATTCTGGAAAAACACCAAATCTGCTACATTTTCAAAAACTCAGACTCATAACTAGTAAATACCAACGAACTATAATTCACAATAGAAATATAGGGACTTCCAATTTTGCACAAGTAGCAAGGCAACTACATATTAGTTCGTAACCCCCACAGACAAACACACACTATGAAATAAGATATCTAGTATTTTCCAGGAAAATTATAAAAGTTCTAGCAAACTAATGCGGAACCACGAGCTTGAGTGGTTTAATTGCACCGCAGATTGAAGTGGATCACAATAACAAGGAAGTCTTAATTACCGCTCCATCTGGACCGAGGAGTAGCTTCTAGAACTTGATCGAGATCGTCATTCCTTGTGCAGACCAAGATGGGACCTTGAAAATCGAGGGGCACAGGGTCTCCTCTCTTGACGAGAAAGTCATCACCGGAGCCCATGTCTTGCAAGGCCCTTCCGACTCTCCCGCCGCCGACGATGACGGCTGGAATAACCTTTGTTGGGGTATTGACGACGCCGGAGGCCATGCAACTGAAGGCTCTTGAAGAGGGAAGGGTGAGAGTGGAGCTAGAAATAGCTGAGGAGAAGAGAGAGGCCATGTTTAAGCTTGCGGGCGGAGCCTAACATTGTTCTTCCCATAATATTTTGGGAGCCGCGCCGGAGCTCTGAAATCCGTCCACTCGTTTTTCCCACCCCTATCCGGAAGCCATGACCATCATTTTTTTTTTGGCCAGACATCATGACCATCATTAATATATTTTATAAATAATATCGGAAAAATGGAGAATCCCACCAAAAATTTAAAATTACAAATTTTAAAAAAAATTTTATAAAAATGTTGTGTTATTTGTAAGTGTAATGTAATATTATCAAAACGTATTAAATGTTATGACTAAATCTAATTTGAGATTTAATAATTTTAAGTTTTTTTCCTCCTTGATTCTCCCAAAAAAAATGACGGAAAATTGACATGAAAATATCCTGAAAAATAAATAGTTAAAGTATATTCAGCATCTTAAATATTTTCTCAAGTGTATTCAGCACTTTAAAGTATTTTGTAATGTATTCAGTATTCGAAGTATTTTTTAGGTGTGTCAAGTAGTCTGAAATATATTTTTTTTTGGTTGAAGCCTGAAATATTTTTTAACTTTAGTATTGGGTGTACCAAAAATATTTTTGAATACTGAATGCACCTGAAAAACATACTTTAAGGTCTTGAATATAACAAAAAATATTTCGAGATACTAAACGTATTTAAAAAAAATATTTTAAAGTATTGAATATATTATAAAATATTTTAAAAAGTGGGATACACTGGACAAAATACTTCATATTGTTGAATACACTTTATCTCAGAATAAAAAATGACAAGCAATGATTTAAATTTATAAAGTACCAAATCAGCTTACCAAAACTAAATTAGAATTTTAAAATGTTCAAAAAAGATGTCACTGCCTCTCAATGTTAAAATGCCATTGACCTCCTCGTCGACCAATCGCCAACGATTGGGATTTCTTGGGGCAGCGTTAGCCAATAAACTATTGTAAAGATCCTGAAACATCCAAATGTAAAATTTGAAGGAAAAAAAAAAGTGTTGTGATTTGTTAGTTAAATGTAATACTACCTCCAGTCTTAAATATAAGAACGAGTTGATTAATTTGAATAGATTATGAAAATAAGTTAAATTATTATTCTGTCCCTTATTATAAGATCTTTTTAATTAAATTACACAGTTTGAGAAAACAGTTAAAATTAGTTAAAAACAATTAATATGTAGCAAATATAATTTTTTCTCAAATATACCCTTATATAGAAATGGGTAGATATGAGAGAGTAATAGTGAGATAAATGAAGAAAAAATGTATTAAATACATTAAATTAAGGGTAAAATAGTTAATAGTGTATTAAATGTTTAGACAAATTCAAAAGTGATCTTATAAAAAAAGACAGACCTACTCAAAAAATGGGATCTTATAACAAGGGACGGAAGGAGTAGTTATTTGTAATAAATAAGTATTGTCTTTCCTAAAATATCTATATCAACTAAGTATATTGGTTAGAACTATTAGAAAGACTGTTTTGGAAAAAAAAACATAAATATAAGAGACAAAATAGATTCAAATTTTATATTTAAGATCAAAATAAAAATCAAATAAGGTTCGGAGGTAATATATAACGAATGAAGTCCAGCAAATATCTATTTTATACTTATTTGTCATTATGGATAGCTAAATTTTTGTAGCAAATGTTGAAAGAGTTGTTACTTCAACCAACGTGAATGGTAAACTTTGTGACAGGAAATTATTAATATGGAAAGAATTATTGTTATTCATTTTATTATTTAAGGAAATATCAAATTTTATGACTGAAAGTTGTTAATATCTTGTATGTTCTATAGAGTTAATACTATCCCAATTCTAAATATAAAAACTAACTAGAGATTTAATTTAATTTTAAATATAAAATTTAAATTCACTTAATCTTTTATATTTATTTATTTATTTTCCTGAAGTAGTCCCCAATTACACATCTTAAAACCAACGTGAATGGTAAATTTAAATAGAGTTAATACTATCCCTGGTCCAAAAAAAAATAGAGTTAATACTATCCTAATTCTAAATATAGAAGCTAACAGGAGATTTAATTTAATCCTAAATATAAGATTTAAATTCACTTAGTTTTTTATATTTATTTATTTTTTCTGAAGTAGTCCCCAATTACACATCTTAAAAGTTTCATTCTAATGCACATGATTAACAAGACTATTTTATAAAAAAAAACATTACTCATTTATTACAAATAACTAATTTAATCAATTTATTTAATATTTGTAAATTAGTTATCTAACTCTTATATCAAATACAAAAAGTATTATTAAAAGAGTTACCATATTTACTTACCCCGTGACTTTCTTAAACTTATACATTATTCTTCTCTTAACAATATATAGATTGAAATCTAATGTGAACAAAGAGTGGTACATGCAGGAGCATTACGATCCGTTAATATTTAGTGCCTGTTTGGCATCACTTATTTTGAACTTATAAGTAGCTTATAAGCTCTATAAGCTCTATAAGCTCGATTGACAAAATTAAGTCTGTTTGGATCAGCTTTTCTGCAATCAGGCTTTTGTCTGAAAAGCTACAATAAGCTATAAGCTAAAATTAACAGCTTATGACTTATAGCTTATGGCTTATAGCTTTTGAAATATGGAGAGAGAAAAAGTTAAGAAATTTATTACCTCTTTTAGTTCTTATTATAAACCTCAAATAACTAATTTGTAGATAATAAAAAATCAGTTAAAATTAGTTGAAAGTAATGAATAAGTTAGAAATATATTTTTATTTTTAAATATGCTCCTAAAAATATACTTTTATTTTTTCATGTTTCACTTTATATTTAAAATATTTTTTATAACTTCTTCATATTAAATTATTTTAATTTCATTGTATTATGTGAAATTATTTTTTTAATCATGTTTCATTATTTATTAAAACTCATATTTATTTTGGTCATTTTACAACCAAACTTACTTTTACTCAATCATAATCCAAACAACCTTTTACCAATCTCACTTTTACAATCTAGCTTTTCTGAACTCTAATTCAAATACAATTCAGCTTATCCAATTTAACTTTTATCCAATTTCACTTTTCTATAAACTATTTTTTCAATAAACTACTTTTCTAATCGCTGATCCAAACGGACCCTTAATCAATGAAACGTCCTTAACTTCCAGCGTCTTGTAAAAGAGTGCGTGTGTATTTATATATATAATTGGGCGGGTGAGGGAGGGACGTCACATGGACTTTTACAACTGGGACCAACTGTACGTAACCAAGCTTGTAATTACAAATTAACCCTACCCGCCTACACCTACATGTACTCTATTTATAGTCTCTACGTATTGTATTTGACTTTCATGTTTTAATTTGCGGGGTACCCCTAGCACATGTCTCCCCCTTATTTGTGAATCAAATTTAATAATATTTTCATGAGTTTGCTTAACTTACCACTTTGTCGTTGAGATTTAGACACATAGCAGCCACGTTTTTTAAATTTGAAATCTTTTTTATTTTCTTTTACCTTCTCAATGTTCATAATGCCACAATTGTGTATGCATACATATGACTGCACGTGGAGAATGGACATGCTATTGGAAAGAAAGATGCTGCACATGGTTAAATAGGATTTCTATCAACGATTATTAGCGGGACTTTAATTTTTTTTGAAAAAAAATGGTGCACATGAATATTAATTTCAGGAAAAAAAAACGAAAATATATATACATACTTAGTATGTTTAAAGTAATTGTCTTAATTTGTCTTCTCAGACATCACAATGACATAATCATTCTAAAGCTCGTTAGTGTCGCAAGATAACTGTATATTGTGTATATGTAAATTTTCATGTCGTGCTTCGATCAACCCAAGAGGTAACGAAATAAGTATACACACGCACATATTCCCTTGCTCCTTATTATATGAGGTTTTCTAAAAGTTTTCTTTTTTCTTTTTTGGGTCTATGATACATACATATATATGATGTGGTTGAATATTTTCTGATGATTTTAGACATTTTTGTTTTTGAGTCTTTTAAATAAATCCCTCATAATTAAATTGTGAAGATGAGGGGATGAACTAATAATAATCATGTTTGTTCTTTTACTTAATTGAAGCATAAATGAAATATTGATCTATTTTTGGATAATTTTGACCATACAAGTAACCTTCCCTAGTATGCACATGATTTTGTTTAAAACAGCTTATAACAATGCCCCGAGGGATTACATACATAATATGATACTATCTCATATATTTAATAAAAGAATTAGTTGACTAATTTAAATAGATTAAAAAATTAGTTAATTTAGTTATTTGTAATAAATATGTATTGTCTTTCTTAAAATATTATTGCTAATCAAACGTACTGAATAGAACTACCATTATTACTAAGACTACCTTGAGTAAAAATGAATAAATATAAAAGAAAGTAAATTAAAGTCTTATTTATATTTAGGACCAAAATAAAAATCAAATAAACTCTTATATTAAGGATTGGAGGTAGTATTATGCAAGAAATGAAAAACATTAAAAAAAATAGCAAATTTTTATAAGAAGGGAAAAAATTAGTGAAAGTAACCTTGAAAGAATCTTACCCCCTATTTGTCTACCCTTGCCCCAAAGTTTGCCTTTTGAATTATTTTCCTCACCTCTTTGATTTTTTTTAGCGTGCACTGATATTGATTATGCACCTTATAAAACCAAAGTATAACTGAATCTACCAAATAAACATATAGCTATAATCTTCCAAATTTGTGGGTTAAAAAAATATTACTTTTCTAAGCATCCAGCTCGCAATGGAAAATTGGAGCAGCAATTGAGCTCAAATCACCAAAGATGATGTCATCAGTTTCAGGGTAGCTGCTTGAATCATGACAATCAAAGAATGTTTGAATATCTTCAGGAAATATACGACCAGGAGGCTTTGATTCTGAAGTTACTGCTGTTGCAGGGTAACTATGGTCTCCAGCTGATGAAGTCCTCTCCAGCATTTCCTTGAACTTTGAGGATTGCCAGAGGAGCCCTAGTGCAGATGACGGCGGAGCCCCGCCTCCGGATCGTGGCGGTGCCACCATTGTGTCGTCAGAGAAACCCAATTCAAGTTCAGGATTAGAGCTTGGTCCAGACTCGGTGGTGTTATCAGTAGTAGGGTTTTCATTGGAGTCCTGGGTTTTAGGGCGGAGCCAATTGATATAACGGCTGAGGTCAAAGTTCGTAACGGCATTAAGTCCTCTGTATTCTATGGCTGCCATATCATATGCTGCGGCTGCTTCTTCTTGTGTAGCTGTACCATAATGGAAACAAATCATGATGCAAAAGGATAATTTAATATATATTTATTTAATTAATAATATGTACTAATTATGAATATAGAAGGCAAATTTCGGTGGAAACTACTTTCAAACTTAGGCATTACTTTGAAAAGAATGAGATCATGAATAAATAGCTTTACTAAGTAGTTGAGGTTCGGTGATCTACACCCCAACCAACTGGATTTGATTGCATGTATATAACTTTGACCTCTGCTGCTTTGTCCTATTACTCTGACCTGTAGGACCATTTTCCTGACCAAGTGGGAATTTACTATGTGGAATGCATACTCAAATTCAATTATATATAATATCTACTCTCTATCTTCTAAAAAATATTTCTATAAAATAATTAAACCAATTGATAAGTTTCTGATATTAGGCTAATTTAGGGAATCCAAAATTTTAATTTTTATAATGTATTTAGAAAAAATTGATAAATATTTTCCAAGGACTAACCCTAGTAGGTTGGCAAACTGTGAAACATGGTTCTGTCCCTTTGCCACGTGTCACAAGTAAATATGGATACTTATTTTGCGTCCAAGTACTACGGCCATATAATTGGGGTTAAAAGAAATGGAAGAATGGTATATTAAATGTATTGAAAGGGACGCTTTTGTAAGGTTGCTCAAAGACTCCATATATCCAAAAATTTAAAAAGGTGTCTATATTCGCTAGCAAAAAGAGGTGAGAAATAAGTAAGCATATGCATACGTCTTTTTCAACACTGAGAAAATAAAGCGCACAAATTTTGGGCCACATAATGCGTGAGTGACTGATTGGGTAAAAGAGATTAACCGCATAATGCAAACAATATTCATTAATTGATTACCTCAACATGAAGCATTATACAATTTTGAGCATTTCCTATAGGGAATCATTCATCTATGTTTCAGATTCTGCAATTTGTTCATGGCTTTACTGGATTTTGACTGAAACCCACAACTATGAATATATAAAACTAGGAATATATATTACTATACACAAACACACACATAACATACTAACTCCACCAATTCCAAAACTAAACCAAACAAAAAGTTGAGCAAAAGTAGGGGGGATGCGTGGAGCGATAAAAGGTCAAAGGGGTTACCGAAAGTTCCGAGATAAAGATATTTGTTGCCGAAGACTCTGCCAATCCGAGCCTCCCATCTTCCATTGTGATGGTGTCTGAAAATTGTAAATTTAAAAATCAGAGCATTTCTAATTTGTAACCAATTATAGACGGATCCGTCATGAAAATTGCCCACCCATCTGTCATCAATGGGGCAATACCGTGCTTTCATTAATAAGGTTCGTCCATGATCATTAATAACCGAACTTGTGGCTGGCAAGTAGCCAACTGACCAAATACAGCTTCCCAATTAAAACTAATTTCTGCAAACATTTGACTGAGATATCTTCATTTGGAGTATAGGATTACCTTGCTACGCCTCTGTACTTCGAGACTCCGCGTGAGAACCCGCTGCTTTTTCTGCCATGAAAATTTGTTTATTTACAGTTAGAATATTGTTTCAGATCAGATGAACATTTTGACAGCTAATAAATAACTAACAACCTTCTTAAGGATCCAATGTATTCTTCTTTTGATTGGCCCTCCATTTCCTTGACCTCTTCTTCATAATTTGTGAGCTACAGTATAATCATGTATGATAATTAAGATATAAAACTGAACATTTATTTGATCGACTTTATAATGAAGAAGAAGAAGAAGAAGAAGAAGGAAGGAAGGAAAATTTTTACAGGAAAATTGAGGATGGTGTCTTGGCCCCAGTACTTCAATGCTGCCAAGTCATAGGCACGCGCTGCAGCTTCTTCATCATCATATGCCCCTAAGAAATGCAAGTTTTGGAGCCATTTATTAATATCCCCATCCGGTCCTACTACCCGCAGGAATGAATTCTCATACCAAACTACCAAAATTAAGGTAAATGCGATACACGATTTCAAAAACGTCACTTAAACATACCTAAATACACTGCATAAATCGCCCAGTTGTTTTCCCCATTACGTGATCAATCGAATCGACAAGAAATCAACAACAAAAACAAGTTAATAAGTGGAACCTAATTGATTAATTAGACTTGCAGACCAAGAAAATAAACAGTGCTAAAAAGAAAGAAGAGAGAATTTCGTCTTCCTGTAGAAGAAAACGATGATCTAATTAAGAACCTTGTCTTCCTTTCTTGCTCTGCGATTCATTCCAGCAATTCTTATCCCAGAGATGAGCCTCATACCGGCCCGTCCAACGATGCCTATATATAGTATATGCACATGGCATAAATCTTCTTGCTCGAATTAATGGGAACAAGAATTTAAACAGAGCAGGATACAAGAATTGCAGAACAAACGAATAAATCGAAGCGAACATATATGTAGAATTAATCAATACTGACCTGGTAACACCTCGATAAACGGAGCTTCGTTGCGGAGGAGAGCCTCTGGGAATGCTTTTGCGAGTCCGTTTCGTCTTGGTATTTGAAGGCGTACTGCTGTTTTCAGCGTTCTTCACCTTCCTCTGTGACATCTTCGCCATTATTATCACACACCTTCACAAACGCAGTGCTGCTACTTCTCTCTCACACATAAGCACACGCAGTTTTTAAGAGACTGGGAAAGAAGCGAGAGAGCTATATGAATTGTGACCAGGTCATCCAACAAGAAGGGCATTAATGGAAATAGAGGAAGAGAGGGAAAAAGTAGGTCTTATCTTATTCCTACCCGTCTCTCTCTCTTCCCGCGCTCTCTCTCTCTGGATTCATTTTTCTCTCTTCTTCTGACTGTGTTAATTGTTCATAAGCGAGTTATTGGAGTCGAATTGTTTTTTTTCAGAAAATGCGCATAAATTCAACATAAATAATTTAATTACTACTAAGTAATATGCAATGTCAAGTTCCTGTACTAAAATAACAATAAGGAGTATGCTGCTAACTTATTATGATACTCTTCTAGTCTTTAATATAGAATCTAATTATTAAATTGATTTTGATCATAAATATATAACTTATTTCTTTATATTTATTAATTTTTTTCTAAATTACCCATGTGATACTCCCTTAACCATAATCAAGTAAAAAAAAGAGAAAAGATATTAAGAAAAATGATTATGGTGTTTTAGGAAAAGCATGTTATATTTTTTATAATTAACTAATCTACCTAACTTCCTTAATCTAATCAAATTAGTTAAATAGGTCTTATATTAAGGACCGAAAGAGTACTTTTTAGTGATTAGATAATTTATATGAGAATGTATAATGATTTTTTTCCTTTTGTTACAAACATACACATGCTCCTTCCATTTCATAATATAAGTCGTTTCTAAATGAATTACTTAGTTCAAAATATAAGTAATTTAGATAATATAATTAACGTTTGTTTTTCAATTTTATTCATGTAATTAATATTTAAGTCTCATTTTTTTTCTCTCATTTACGACCTCATTTAATATAAGTAAAGATGAAAAAAATTTAATTTGGAACACATTTAATTAGTTAATACTACTACTCCTCCGGTCTTTAATATAGGACCCAATTGTTGAGTTAGTTTTGGTTTTAAATATAAGACCCATTTATCATATTTATCAATTTTTTCTAAAGTGCCCCTATAGATGCTCCTTCAATCATAATCAAGTAGAAGAGGGAGAGAAGGTATTAAAAAAGATGATTATAGTATTTTGGGAAAAACATGTCACATTTCTTATAATTAACTAACTTACCTAACTTCCTTAATCTAATTAAATTAATTAAATGGGTCTTATATTAAGGATCGGAGGAGTATTTTTTATAAGTGATTTATATTATGGACAGGAAAAAATTGGGTTGTTGTTATTGACTTTTTGTTGGTGGAGGGAGGTGGGATCATGGCAGTTAGTGGTTAGGAAAGTGAAGGTGTTAGAAGGGGAAGAAATAGCCGGCAAGGTTTTTTGGATTTTAATTGGTTGCCATCTTAAAGCCGCCCTGGGATCTATTTTTGTTGCCATGATGGGATATGGGTTCGGGCCGAAACGGTTTTTGATCCATTTTTAGATGCCTAAAACAAGAAAATACTCCTATGATCTTATTTATAATATAAAAAAAAGATATTTTTAGTCCTATTTATAAAGTAATAAGAAAAATTTTCATATGACTATACAATTTTTTTGTCATTTATTATTATGTTGACTTTGTTTACATGAAGTATAATACATATTAAATAGGGATAAAGTTAAAAAGTTGTTAAATTTTATATAAAAATTAATAAAATTTAAAATTTTTCTTAATATATGTAAAACATGCTAAAAGAACCAAAAAAGTAGTTGATACTTTATGTGCACACTTAGATAACGCAAGTCAGTTTGTTTTTAAAAAAATTAAAAGAAAATTGGCTACATCTGTTATATTATATCAAATTCGTACACACTATAAACTCACATTTTTTCTTTCAAAATATAAAAAATAAATAACTAATTTATAAATATTAAAAATTAATTAAATTAATTATTTATAATAAATAGTGCAATCAAATTCTATTGCAACGAAAAAATTGAAAATTCAAAAAATGAATAAATTGTCTTTGTAATTATTTTCATTCAAAAAATTCTCTGCGGTATGGACTTCCACATGTTGTTAATATAAGGCACCTTTAACCGTCTTGTCAATTGTCAAAACCAACAAAAAACGTAGTTAAATCATTAACTTTGTCTGAAAAATAGAAGTAGCAGCCAATGAGATTTTAACAAGGGACGATCTTGAAATAATATAGTTAATATCTCATTTAATAAGTTATTATAAGGAGTATCTATTTTTTTTTAAGAAAATGCTTTACAATAAGGGATAATAACCAAAAAAAAAACTAAAATTTTGTAAATACCAAATAAAGAATGTCAACAAAATTTTTTGCATCTGTAAATTCAGACTTGTCAATACCAAATAAAGTTGTGTTATCAAACCTAATTTGGGAATTGTAATTTTTAGCTTCTTTTTTTGTCATTCTCCCTTACACTAAGGATTGGAAAGAGTATTATTAATAAGATTATTTAAAAAATTATAAATTTGTAAGATTAAGTGAATTGATGTATTATATTTAAGATAAAAACAAATCACTTGATTAATTTTTCACATTTATTTTTTATTACTCTACTTTTATATATAGGTCATTTGTGGAAGAAAAGTTTGTCCATAAATATAAGTTACTTGTTATATACAAAAATAAATATAAGTCACTTGTTAGGCAATTGATGATTTTTTTTTTATTTTACTCCTATTGAATGTAATAAAAAAAAATAGGCGAGAGAAAATACAAAATTTTTATCAATTTAATATATTTTTTAATATATGTAAATGGAATACAAATTGCTTACATATAAAAACAGGGTCGTATCTTGGCGCAAAAACAACCAAAAAAAAAAAGGCAGAGTAGTATGAACAGAAAATAGCGCGCAGCAGGATAATGCTGTATGAGGAGCGGAGGTCCCGCGCCGCTCTAGCGAGGGCAATATGCATAGCTGGATGTGGTTGTATTTTAACACATGCTCTTTCAAAAAAACAAAATGCGCCATTTTTCAAAAAGGATTTTTTTACCAATAAACAATTCTGAAAGGCATTATTTAGAGGGGGAAGTACAATGAAATCCCACAGAAAAAAAAATAATTATTAAAAGATCTCAATAACAATTTTAACAGCCTATAATGACAAGTCTTATAATAAGAATGACAACATGTGAGATTTGTTTTTTAATTGTTTTTTTGTTTGGAACCTCATTGTAATTCTTCCTAATTTAGAAGCAATAAGTGATGTGCTTCTTTTAGATGGATCAAAATGTTGAACAAAAATAGTTAAAAATAATAAATACCACCCCCTATCTTTGATGCTACTCCTGATAGTTAATATAAGAGTTTGTTTGATTTTTAATTTCACATTAAATATAAGATTCTAATTTATTTTATCTCTCATATTTATTTATTTATTTGAAATAGTTCTTATAATAATTGCATATATTAAAATTTTTCAAATGATAGTTCTAGCTAATACACATTATTAGTAATGATATTCTAGAAAATTCAACTCATATTTGTTACAAATAACTAGCTTAACAAACTTCTTTAATCTACTCAAATTAGTCAACTAATTCTTATACTGCCTCCAATCCCTAATATAAGAACTAATTTGACTTTTAATTTAGTCTTAAATATGAGACTCCAATCAATTTTGTCTCTCATATTTGTTAACTTTTTAAGGTAGCCCTTATAATAGTTACACATGTTAAATATTTCATCAAATGACACTTGATTAGCAAGGATATTTTAGGAAAGATAACACATATTTATGATAAATAACTAACTTAACTAGTTTTCTTAATTTATTCAAATTAGTTAACTAGATCTTATTTTAATGACGAGAGATAGTATAAGACCTAGTTAATTAATTTAACTATATTAAGAAAATTAGTTAAGTTAGTTGTTTGTAATAAATATGTATTACCTCTGATCCTAATTATAAGAGCTAGTTCATTAATTTGAGGAGATTAAGGAAAGAAATTAAGTTATTTATTTGTAATAAATAGATGTTGTCTTTCCAAAAATATCCTTAATAATGAAGTGTATTGGTTAGAACTACCATTGTTAGAAGGATTAACTTGAAAAAAAATGTATAAATATGATAAACAAAGTAGATTGGGGTCTTATATTTAGGATCAAAATAAAAGTCAAACAAGATCTTATATTAAGGACTGGAAGTAGTATTATCTTTTCTAAAGCACCTTTGCTAATTACGTGTATTAGGTAAAATTACTATTTGATAAACATTTAATATTTTCACCTACTATAAGGATTATCTTAAGAAAAAATAAATAAATATAAGAGACAAAGTAAATTAGAGTCTTATATTGAAAACCAAACTGAATGTTAAACTAGTCTTTAATTAATAATTGGAGTAGTATACAAGAAACATGATTTTTTTTTAAAAAAAAAATATCCTCATTTATGAAGATGATAGGTGTAGGAGAAGATGAAAAAAAAAAAAAAGGAGAGAGAGAGATGAAAAAAAGGGCATTAAATTTTTTGACAAATACAAAGTGTTGCTTGTATACAAGATCAATCCTATGTGGAATACTGTTGTTTATATATAGGATCAAAAAAGAGTATGAAATAAGATATGGAGTATTAGATCTAATTTGTAATACTAATTTCATAGTAAATTAGATATCATATTTAGAATCGGAGATAGTATTTGAATGTTTATTATTAGAAATTAAGACATCAAATGCCTATGTGTATGGTCTCATTATTGTCAAACTCGTGAGTTGACTTTCTAAATTTGACATTTTTAAGTTTCCAACTTACAAAATCGTGTCAACTTTCTACTCAACTCATAATAACTGTAAACTCAATTGAACCCACAAGTTTATTTCATGAATTTATCATTTTTATAGAGTTGAGCGAGTCAAACATATATTTGGTTCTATTTACAAAATGCTGAGGAAGACCTAATCCCAAAAAATTAAAAGTCAAGAGATAGAAACTAATGGTAATACAACCTTTCAACTTCATAGAAATTTTTAGATTGAGTATAATAATAAATTATTAATATCGACGGATTTAATTTCAATGATTTAATACTTTCTCAGGGTATTTCTTTATTTTTAA